GTCTTTGCACACAGACTTGCTAACAGTGTGACGAGGTTTCCAAACTGGGACTGAGAAGGGTTCAGTTAAAGCCCCCAGAGTGTCTGATAAACAAAGGCATAAAAGCAAATATCATCAATACAGGACACAAGGGCAAAAAAGTATGGAGAAACGAACAAGACTCCATCAGAACTATGAGTTATGGGAAAACACAAGATTTTCTGGGCTAGTTTAAATGACTGGAATATCAAATTAAAAAGCAATAGCTGAGTTAGGAGGCAAAAGCAAGTGAACGAGAGGGAACATGCTGCCTGATATATCAAGGATGCACTAAGGTACAAGAGGAAGACTAATCTCATAAAAAAGGATATCAATAACTTTAAAGTCACTTGTTTTAAATAAAATCTTTTGCAGTTGCTGAGGTTACATTTTGCTGTTGTTTTTTTCCTTACACAAGATTTCCAAAGTACCATAATGCTGTCAAAGCAGTAACACCATCTCATAAGTTTTCAAGATCACTGATTCACATTTATCCACCCAGTTTCTCTGCTCTTTGTGTGAAAGTTCAGTGTGCCCTTAAGATAGAAGCTTTTCTGTAAGATTTTGAAAAATCCAAGTCTGTCAGACCCAGGTCCTAGCCTAGCAGTGACTATATACTCTTAGTGCAGAGCTGGTTTTTTTTAAATAAAACCAGTAGATTGTCTGACGCTTTGCTAGTTGACTGGCCTCCTCTAAACAAGCACTCCTGTTGTTTGCAGATGTGGTAAATGCTGCTCATTGCTGCTTCTGGCACACACTTAATTGGCAGCCAGGGTGATAAACTGTCATAGGCACCTCAGCAACAGTAATTCTCCCAGGTAATATTTGGTGGAACACATCTGGGATATGCAGATTACTATAAGGAAAAAAGCCCCAAACATTACGTGAATGTAAGTGACTAAAAGAAACCATAAGCGTCTTTAGAATGGTGTTTTGCACAAGGATTCAGATAGATCAAGTAGGTAAAAGATTTACCTCCCTAATTAGTATAAGTCCTCTTCTGTTGCTGCTGGGGAGGATGCTTTTGTTTCCTTGCACAGAACTATTATTTTACCAAGACAAAAATGCCCTGTAAGGTTGGAAGGTTATAATGTAGGGTCACTTTTAACAACATTCCCTTTTCTCAAAAATTTCTGGCATGGCTTCTACTGGAATTCATTGCATTGGAGAATATCTTTGACTAAAACTTGATTAAAATTGAAGAACAAATAGCATACTACTTTCCGACTATGAGAAATAGGTACATTGCAGCCATTGGCTTTAACTGACATTACAAGAAACACCACAGAGTATAGTGGAATGACAGTAATATTTCATCTGAAAGACATAAATTGCATGTTTAGTTTGAAATAGATAATAAAAATACACTGAAGACTGAAAAGTAGCAATTAAAGAATGCACTGAAAAATAGGGCAGTCCCAATGGTTATTTTAAAAGTCATTCATCTGAACCTGTGATGCTGAACACTGTAGAGTGTTTTAAAAACTCTACTGGAAGTGGCCACTTGCTATTAGTACTATTCACAAGAACCAATTTTTAAAAGGCATAGTTTAAGTAACAACAGCATCTGCAGCTCTACTATATTTATCAGCAAAAGTTAGCTTGAAATTAGTCTGTCACTTATTAATGCAACAAGGGTAATTATCATCCTCCCAACAGTGGTGTAGTGAGCAGTAGAACCAGGAACTGAACAGGTGACGAGACTTTCCTACTGCTCGAACTCCACTTAGCTCTGCAGACATAACATAATGAACAGAAATGCCTCCCAGTGCATCTCCATTACTGTCATTTTCCAAACTCCTATCAGTGACAGCAGTGAAATGAAATGAAATGAAAGACAAGAGAATTTTCACTGGCACTGAGGACATCATGTGGCCCCAAGTATCCTTAAAACTCAGAGATTATTTTTTTCATCTTTAGATGCAAAAGAAATGGAAAGGCAAAAAAAAGAAAAATACAGGTGTATGGTTTTGTTGAGCTGTCCCTTGGCTGGTGGTGTTCTAATTCCCAGAACATTTCTGAAACCAGCAGACCAAAACCCAAAATCTGGGCTAAGGCACCATGTTCCTGGGCCACACTCAGCACTACGTTGATGAGGTGATGGGCACACTGGAGGTGGCATGGCAGGGCTGGGGCGGCTGCACCCCACTACAGGCAGAGAAGACCCTGCTGAGCAGAGGACTCAATTAAGGGGTACACCTTGACATCACAGCAATGTCCTGTTTTTTCCCCTCAGCTTCACGGATCCTGTGTGCCAGATGCCTGCCCAAGCATGGGAGAGATCCTGCTACTGGGAAAGATGCAGAGAACCACTTGAGAGCTTCTTTGGAAACTAATGGGGAAGTCCATACGAGTCAGTTAATTCCCCTTAAAAATATGAGCTACAGAATCAGTCACACGAGAGCTCAGCAGCAACGGCAACTCGACTAGACTAAAAGTCATCGTGCAAGACTTGGTAAGTCAGCAGCAAGGTTTAATGACCCTCCATTGTCCCTGGCGGGAAGATGCATGACGCAGCCCAAAGGAGCACCACAACGTTCCAGTGGTTTATACCCTCGAGCTGAATTGCTAAGTTGCAGGCATATCCTCTGCATCAGCACACAAACAAAAGCAACAATGCAATCTGCAGAGCATTTCACCAGTACCTGAATTTAATTACTGCATGATTTTCTTAGCAGAAAATTCTATGGGAAAAAAAAATGGTTTTGTTCTCTAGTAGTTTTGTAGCGTGCTGTGCTTCTGGAGCATGTAACAATATTCTAAGAAATGGCGGAGGGGGGAGAGAAAAAAATCCATTATTTCTTTCAGGACTTTCAGAGCTACAGGAGTTGAAGACTAGATATCCTGCATAACTTTGGGCTCCTCCACTGAAAATTCCAGCTCCTCAAAATAACTTAGTAATAATAATAAATTCATATTCTAGGTATTAGAAAATGTAAGGACAGTTTGCAAGAATGCACAGACGAGAGCATTCAGCTCTGCTGGTACACATCAATACAGACTTTTCAAGTGTTTCATTTAACCTGAATATGTTCTCTCCATTTCACTCAACTTTAGCCAAATTCTAGCTGTGTTGAGTTTTTGCAAGGTTAGTAATTGACAACGGAACTGCTGGATTTTCAGCTGTACTTTCACAAACAGACAAGGAACAATTCCAGCCCCTCCTGCGCAGTTAGCTCTTGCTTTGAGGGGGTGATGCACTTGGGCCCCAGCTGCCTGCTCCCAGATGCTTTATTACAACGTACATGGAGCAGAGGGAAGGTGCTACTGCATCTGGGGCCTCTGGAGAGGCACCGAGGTGATTTGGAGCTGCCAACCCAACTCCA